CAAAGTCACCCCAAAGCTGCTGAACTGCATTCCATTAACACACAGACACATTTACTGTCAGTACATTTGTGGCACATTGAATTCCTCCTCACCAACTCTGAGGTTATGAAACACAAAAGCAAAGATGAGACAAAAGTTGGAAATGAATCAATAAATGACGATCCTGTTTGTGTCGGAGGTCCAAGGAGAAAACCAGAGGAGGCACAGCTTCCCAAAGTGTTTCCATTGGAGTGATAATGGTTACATAAAATACATAAATAAATTAAATAACTATCTAAAAAGTAATGCTGAAATGACAGGGGTGCTGAATATCATTTCCCTTTTGAATGTATATCCTCCTATGGCATGTTGTTGCTCTTGGGCAACCAAATTTTTGGTGATTACACTGTCCTTTAATTATTATTGTTTTCATTTATTTACTTGTTATGTGACACCAACACCTCAGTGCTTATCAAAATGAGGAGTAGATGAAGGTTTGATCTTTGACCTGGGGGTGGAGCAAACCCTTCAGGTGCTAAATCGGCATATGACACAGTGAAAGCTACTAGTAAGACTAATATCATTTGTATGCATGTTCAAATTGAAATAAGTACATTTTGAAAAAATATGAGCTTATTTAAGAAAATCTGAAGACATATTTTTAGTTGTTTAAAGTCGTTTTAAATGGCCTGTATTTATATAGCGCTTTACTAGTCCCTAAGGACCCCAAAGCGCTTCACACAACCAGTCATCCACCCATTCACACACACATTCACACACTGGTGATGGCAAGCTACATTACAGTTTTAGTTCGTAATCTGAGCACTCTGTGTGAGTGACTCCATGTTGGTGACATTTAAGGAAATATAAATCTCTTCAAAAAGCCAATCGGTGTCTCACACAGTAGTGTGAGTGAATGTAGTCAATCAACTTCCCGTGGAGAGGGGAGGGACTGCTCTCTTAAGGTGAGGCGGAAACAAAGGATTAAAAACAAAGCAGGAGGACAGAAACACGGTGAGTGTTACTGTGCATTTATGTGTTTTTTTTAGAATAATCAGAAAATTAATTCCTGACTGGAAAACATGACATGAATGTTTCGCAAGTTAGAACAAAAACTGTGAATGTTGTTTTGGTTAGTTTTGTTACTCAAGTTTGTGACTTAATCCAGAAAGAAGCATGATGGATAACATTAAATCGTTGCTTCATGGTCACATCTTCCTGTCAGCAGTCTTTCTGTGGTTTTTTAGAGAGAACAAGGATCTGTTAATTCATTAGGTGGCGGGTTGAATGGGTTTATTATGTGTGCGTGTGTGTGTTTGTATTTAGGTGTCGTATGTGTGTCGTATTTCCTGTTCTGCAAGTCACAGGTTTCTATAAATATGTTTGTCAGGATTTTCAACCTGCACTATAGTCGTTGTTGTTCTGCCTAAAGATTAAAAGTTTAGCTGAGGACAGAGCAGAGTTTCCAGACATCAGCAGTATGCCCATGAACAGCGACAGTTCTCGAGATTATCCTCCAGCCTTCAGTCATGAACCTGGATCCTCAGGCACAAAGTAAGAGACTGTTTCTGTTTTACTTACACAACACCACTTTTTGTCTTTTGCACAACCCACTCTCAATGTTGCACTTTTCTGTTTCACTGTCTTGTGTCTGTATC